GGGCGGCAGGGGGAGAGGGCGGCAGGGGGAGAGGGCGGCAGGGGGAGAGGGCGGCAGGGGGAGAGGGCAGCAATTTTTTCTGTTCTACTCCTACACCTGAGGAAAGGAAAAGGACATGGTTGAACATGGCCTGTGTGTTCAGTAGCAAGAATTATGTACATTACCTTTCAACGTCAGTTACATTTTCTATTGTTGCTATTTTACTTTTGAATGTGTCTTCTAATACTGTTACTGTCTCAGGAACTCTATGATACTTGACAGAAGCATTAAGAAGTGTTGCTGTGAGGCCCAGTACTCGAGGCTGCTCTTCTTCAGGGTAATAATCAAAGTGCTTCATTATCTACGTCAAAAACAAATAAGGAGAAATCTCCTTTAAATTAAGACTTAACACTATATCTATTTCTTAATTTTAGAGGAGGACAGAGATGGTGAGCAAATATTGGGAAAAAAAGGAAGTTAATAATACACAAAAACTAATACAGCTTCATTCCCAGTACTGTGATTAAAATTATGTCAATGTTAACTCAAAAAGTTACTTAAATACACGTAATTAAAACTAATAAAATAATTGTCACAGAGAAACAGAAAATACGAGTAGGATAGAACCCAACATGTGTATTGTGAGAGGACAAGCATGGTTTTCGGTGTTTTACAGCTGGGGAGATAGATAGAGCTTGAGGCATATCACAAAGGAAAACTTCCTAGACAGAGCGGGCAGGTGCTGTGTGCTAGTAACAAAACTACGAGAAGCTGACACTTAACAGTTGATGACGAGTTAATGTTTTTTTTTTTTGTGTCAATGTGTTTTTGTAACCGAAAGTATTCTTTGTGTTCTTTTAAGTGAAGTGTGATTAATACCATTTTCCCACAATCAGTAAGGGATTAGAATGACAGAGGTTCACTTCTATACATTGCCAAACGAGAAATGAGCAAACGATGAAATGAAGCATAATTAACGACGACTGTTGGAGTTTGAAGGCACACATCTTAGAAATCTTGTAGAAGTTGGACAAGAAGCAGAACAGTAGTAAGAAGTTTTGAAAATACACATTGTAGTTTGAGTCTGACACAAAGCATGTTGTGACAAGGATATGTGGGAAAGGAATTAATTAGTATTTAGATATTTGAAACAAAGTAAACAAATACAAGTGTCATAAAAACAAGGATGTCTGCACTAAAAGCCTACATGGGGCTGTTATCACTTCCCAGAGTATTTGCAATAACAAACATTCCATCTCAGAAACTAAAAAACAATCTAGTATTTGGAGGTTTCAAAACGTGTGGGAAGAGGTCCCTGGTGTGGATCCTCTTCATCACCCACCAAAATTGTATATTAAGGGAAAAATACATACTATAATTTTTTTAAAATTGTAATCAAATTGTTATCACATTTATTTTATGTAACTTTAGTAGAGAAAGAATGATTGCAATCGAAAAACAGCGTTGCTCTTTGCATGTTTATATAAACTCAGTTAACAATTGTTGGAAATCGATTTTGTTCTATTCGAAATTATGTTGAATGTTGTTATACGTAAAATCGCTATACTGTTGAGACAATCTAGCAACCTAGTTGATTGCATACATGTTTGAGGCGACACAAAACCAAAAAACATAGTTCATTTCTCGAATCTGACATTAGTGGAATATTTCATTCACCCCAAATACAGAGTGGATATTTTACCTACTTGAAATATTTTGTATGGGTATTGATACAATACCCACATTATCCACAGGGCCTGCTTGTTATAAAAAAAGTATTCATCACTAAGAACAAAACAATTCCCCTTTCTTCTAAAAAATTCTGAAAAATCTCCTCTCAATAAAAGACAGAACATCTACCTACCTTACTCATGCAGTGTTGATTTACAGCATGGTGACATTCATCAAATACAAGCAAATTAATGCTGCTCAGTTGGAGGTAATTATGATTAAGAATATCCAGTAAAATCTGTGCAGTCATGACTAGTACCTGTTCAAAAAAGCACATCCGCCTGCCGGGATGCCGCCGTGTTCTTGTTTCAGACCTTTTACTGGCAGGCCAAAGGCCCCAGGTTAACAGCGCCCCTAATTACGATTAGCTCTTAGTCGCAATAATTTCGAGAGTAAAATTTAGGTTTTGAATAGCGAATAGAAATGCCAGTTGCTATGTCACAGCCTAAATATGCACAGGTTTATATTAATCCACTGCAGATCTGTCTCTGGCGATAGCCGCTACATGCTATAGCGACAGAGTGTGCCTTTAGATGCTGCAATATTATGGCCGTGTCATTATAAGCGGGCCTCGCATCATTTCCTACCATTTCCCAACCTCCATGTACAAACTGAATCGACACACCTTCTGATACCGTGCGCCGGAAGGGGACGCGCCTTTCACCAATCGCTTATTGTAGCCGTAGCCTGCTTGATTAGCGCGCGCATTACATTCCGCGCGTTATAATATTATCTTTTATGAGTTTTAATTAAACTTTATGTTATTGTGGGAAGGTTACGCTTCAAGGGGGTGGATGGCCCTACCGATTGCTTTAGCGCTAGTGCAGTGCGAAAATATGTACTTTCCCGCTGCCCCCGAGAAGATATTTCACCGCCGCTGCCATATATTGCGCGACCGCCCGATAACTAAATTTTATCTGAAGAGGAGGGGCCGTTTTGTCAGAGATTATCTGCTCATAGACAAGTAAAATAATTTAGCCCCATTTTTTAAGCAAACATTTGGTAGACTAACTTTTAGCAATCCCAATTTAAACTCTGCTTCAAAACTCAGCTAATTTAAAAATGCTTCATCTCACGAACCAATATCTGGCCCGGCCGATACCTCTATTTCCCAATCACTTAAAGGGTGAGTGAGTGAGAGCGATAAAAAAGATACATTATACAACTAGCATTAGTTGTTAAAAAAGCAGACATATCTCAGAGTGTACTATGAATTGTGGCATATTAACTCGTCATAACGCTTAATATGAGCTTTCGCTAATCAATAATTGCATAACGAAACCTGCTATGTATAAATATGTCAATGTAACATGATATTCCATAAATTTTATTAATCGTCTATTTAATGGATTCTCTATATACATAATTATATACATGTTCATATAACCACAAAATAGATCCAGTTTCTAATAGTACTACTGAGAACTTTATATAGCACTGAATTAATTACTTAATAATAATATTAATAAAATGAATAATAATAATAATTATTATTATTATAATATTGTTCTTTGTTTTTTTTATGCACTGTAGAGATGAGTTTCATTCCTGATACTACTTATGAGAACATTGAATTTAATATGACCTTCACTGCATCGCGAGCGGAGTGTACCCTCTATATATCACTCTAGAGAGAGTGAGTCTTCCATATACACAAATGAGTTTCCATCATAAAAGAATTGCCTATAAACTGTAAAAGCCAAGCCAAAAGGTGCACTTCGCAAGGTTTAATACACTTTTCTATATACTGAAGATCCCTATCAAGTCCTCGAGCGTCTCAACTTCTCTATATCTCAAGAATGGGTTGATTGCCTAAACAAATACTCAGTCCACTAAATGTTATCTTCAGCTATATTAAACGCGATTCGCAATATTACTCCACCTTTTCTACTAATCACTCTAGTCAGGTCAGGTGAGGACATAAATCCTCATATATATAATCTCCCTATAGGTGTGAGAGCGTAGCCCTGATTTTCTTGCGGTTTTCTGATGTCTCAAAAGCCCCCTTATCATAAGCACCCCAGGTTTAATATCTAACCGAACGTAGTCATGCGCCCCAGAGAGCATATATAACATCACTTCAAAGAGGTGGGCCTAAAATTCTTACATTTAAATGGGGATTACACGTACAAAGAAGGGTTTGGTATCCTTTTGGGCGGACCGAGGGACCACGGAGAGAGGGGTGAGACTGAAAATTACCAGCACGTCTACTTGTTTTATATTGAAAAAATTTGCCTTGATTTTTATCATAATGTATTGTTCACAAATTACCATAGT